TCTCTCTCTCTCTCTCTCTCTCTCTCTCTCTCTCTCTCTCTCTCTCTCTCTCTCTCTCCTCACAGTCCCCATTGTTATATAGCTCTCTTTCTCTTTTGTTTTTTTGAGACAAGGTTTCTCTTTGTAGCCCTGGCTGTCCTGGAACTCACAGACATCCACCTGCCTCTGCATGTACCACCATCACCCAGAGTTATACGCCTCTCTAGTATCTGCTTTATTAACATGCAAACATGTTTTCTACATTTGTAAGGGATGGGAAATATGCTGGAAAGTAAATTTTGCCTTGTTTTGTTTTGTATAGCTTTTCCTGTAATTCTGAAGGTTGATCCTGACCTCTAGGGTTCCAGATACTTCGCCTTGGGTGTGTGTGTGTGAGGCACATTGTGTGGTGTAGGGTAAGACGTATTAAATAAAAATTTAGCAACCAATAGGACTGCAGAAGCACGGTTGTGCTACACTAAACCATGTTTAAAAGGTTGCAAAATGGGGGGAGCGAGCGACAGAAACTGCCTGAACAGGATCCAGTGCTCCCAGGACATCATTTGTTCTTCAGTCCTCCCCTCCGTCCTCCAGTGAAAATAATCACCTCCACGTTGATAAAAACACTTGCCCAAATACACACTCACAGGCTTGACTGTGAAAAGCAAAGGAGGTGATGTGCATTTAGCTACTTCACTCCAGGTCTAGTATGCTGTAGGACTTTAATTATTGCCGCAGAAAGCTCCCAAAGCCCTTCTTAGCATGAATCCCACTTCAACCCCTGTACCCCGAAGGGAGAGCCAGGCCCCCAAACTTCTGTCTATGCAAATTCAGCTTGTTAATATTGTTAGATCACAGGAAGAAATTCTCTCAACTCGGAAGCCCCAGTTCCTCCAGGCTTCTATTAAAGGGATTACAATCCACTTCCTTCCTAACAGGGCTAATGCGCCATGGGAAGCCCCCAGGCCAGGGATTAAAGCATTTACGCCTTTAATTAGGAGCAGCCTTTCCCTGAACACCAGAAACACAAACAGCCAGGCCACATTACAAAGTACCACGCCCTCTCCTAGAGCCTTGGGGCCGGGCAGGTGGCACTCTTTATCAAATAGGCATTTCCCAAAGAAGGGCCTCGGTCAGGGCCCTCAGCACAAATTAAGCCCCCCTCACTTCGAAAACAACCAGCCAGGTAAGGTAGATCTTTGACACTACAGCCGGGCAAGAGGAAGCGACCTAGTTAAAAATCCCCGTGAGATTGCCCCATCTCTAGGAGGGGCTGTGCTATCTAGTGAGGATGCTGTGCCATTTCATAGTGGTGGGTCATGAGCGTTCAAGGAGACAGTTCTGGAAATGACAGAGTTAGTCCAGAGCGATCTGTCTGTTCCCCACGCAATGCTGCTGCACCAGGAGCACACAGGCTCTGTCCTTTCCCGGTCCTGAAGCATAGTCTGACGGTCCCCGAAGGAAAGGTTTCTCCCGGAGGAGCCAAAGGACATCTACTTCACAGCTGCCTGGGATCCATGATATTGGCCTGCTATCTGTCGTCATCTTTTTCTGTGCCAACCCGAGAATAATCTACTCTAAAGACGCTTCTCCGACAACTCAGGATTCTTAAGACTGAAACAAGAAACGGTGTTGTCACGGTCGCCCCCTACTGTCCTTAGAGGAGAGAGCTGAGGCCCAGAGTTTTCCAGGAGTTTGGACTATGCAGGACAGGTGTGTGTGTGTGGGGGGGGGGAGCTCACTTCGGAGGAGAAAATACTATCAAAAGCCCCTGAAATTATTAAAGAGGCATAAGAATTCAGGGCCTCTCACTTCATTGTTCAATAAAATGTCTAACAGGCACATCCCGAGACCCCAGTGGAGGCCTGAATTACTGAGCACCCTAAATACAGTTCCCCTTTACCTGGACACATCCATGATAAAAGTATTATCTATAAATTGGACACCGTGCAGGATTAAAAACGGCACCTAACAATAAAATGAAGAGATGAGAATAACAGACCATAATAAAATGTATTTAAAGCTCACACGCTGGGAAATCCTCTCAGTCTGCAGTGTGAAGTGCTACTACTATCTGGATACATCTTCAGAGAAAAACACCGAAATAATGTATTACCAGCTAGCTGGGCATCCCTTAGCCCAGTTATACTGAGTTAGCCACAACAGGTGGCTAGCTTAAGGTTACCTGCCATCCACAACTGAGCTACGTATTTATGTATTTTCTTATCAAGAATAACTAATCTCACAGATTATCTGTATCAGAACCAGACCTGGTTAGGCAAGCCTGTGATCCCAACTACTAGAGACTGAGGCAGGAGAATCTCAAGTTCAAAGACAGTCTGGGCCACGCAATGAGTTCAAGCCAGACAGGGCAATCCTGTGCACTTGGGAGGCAGATGGTTCTCTGTGAGTATGAGGCTAGCTTGGTCTGCAGAATGAGTTCCAGGACAGACAAGGATACAGAGAAACCCTGTCTTGGGGGGGGGGGAGTAAAAATAATGCTTGGGGATAAAGTTCTTGCTTAGTGTGCATGAGACCTTCAATTCAATACTAGGTATTGCAAAATAATAAATAAATACCCCATCATTAGTATGTCTCAACATAGAGAAAACATGGGCACTACCATTTTATAAAGATGTATTTATTTTATTTTATGTGTATGAATGTTTTGTCCGCATGTATGTATATGTACTGCATTGTGTGCCTCATGCCCAAAGAGACCAGAAGAAGGTGTGAGGTCCCCTGGAACCAGAGTTATGGATGGTTATGAGCCACCATGTAGGTGCTAGAACCGAACCCAGGTCCTCTGCCAGAGCAGCCACTGAGCCACCTCTCCAGCCCAGCATGGACATTGTCTAAGACAAGACAGACACACAAATGAACCAAATAGCTTCCTATTCTACCAATGGAGATTGCTTTGTCCTTAGGTTTAGCTTACTTCTCCTGCCTGATGGTTACATTATTAACCCAATCACAGGGGCCGTGAGATGATGCTGGGTAAAGACACTTGATGCCAAGCCTGAGGACCTGAGTTTGATACCCAGAACTCCTATGGTGGAAGAATGGACTTTTGAAAGTTGTTCTCTGACCACACAGGTGAATAAATACTCAACTATACACACACATCAACATATATAACAATATACTAATTATTAGTGATAAGATAAAATTTAAAAAGCTATCCAACCAAAGAAGCTAGGTATGATGGTGCATGCTTTTAATTCCAGCACTTGAGAGGTAGAGGCGGGAGGATCAGGAATTCAAGGACTCCTTCAGCTTACAAAGTGAGTTCCAGGTTAGCCTGAACTAAATGGAACTCTGTCTCAAATAAAGTACCCAATCCCAGTTACACCTACTTTCTGATAAATAGTTTCCACTATTGGAATGAAAAAGCTGTTGCTTCCTTATACATTATTGTCAGATGTCTTAACTGGCATAACCTTTGAAGGTGATTGGCGTCATCTGCTCAAATGCCAAGAGCCCAAATCAAGCCTTTAACCTAGCAACTGGCTTCCTAGATGTGGTCTTACAGCAACAATTGATTCTCCTATGCGAAGACAGGCATGACTTGAAATCACAAGAACCTGCATGCACCTAAATCTACATTAACAGAAACTGATAAAATAATTTAGATGCATACATACAATGAAATATTAGTGATAGCTAAAGTAAAAACTGCTATGGAGGAAGAAAAACCATTTCACGAAGATATTAAAATGCAATTGTGTTATCTCTGAAGATAGATGGATGAGGTCTTTCTGCCTGAAAGCTTGGAAATGGAATGGGAAATGGTAGCTGTCAGGATCTCTACCCCATAATGTGTAGGATGTGTCTGTCCTGTGGGTGGTCACTAAGGACCTGTTGCTGGGGCTAATGGCAGAGATAACGGAGGGGAGTTTATGCCACGAAGAGCTGAAAGCACCTAAGAGAGCTTAGCCCAACAATTACTGCAATATATTAGCTGAGCTTATTTTGCCTCCTGATTCCTCTGTCAACTTTCCTAAATTCTTTCCAATGCTTTTCGGGCCATGCGTCCAGGGTCAGTGCTGGGTCAGGCCATTTAGATGTTGAAAGGGCAAGGTGATCAGTAAGTCACACCTCCATTCTCTGCGTGCTCGCCCTGGCTCCGCACGTGTAATCTGGGAGAGCATCTCCCTTTATGCCATCACGTTGGAATAAGGCACAGAAAGGTGCATCTTCCCAGGGCGGTGTTGACAGACTGGCCAGTCACTTTGGGGTCAGCCTGCCTGCTTGCACGTCGGAACACAGAACTGGCAACAGAAGGCTGAGGAAAAGACACTGAGTCACAGAAACTTTGGAAGTCAGGGTCTTTACACATGGTCTGTACTCCTTCAGTGATGGGGAGAGTATAGACTCTCTTGCCCCAGCCCAGATCTTCCAAACTAGAATTTGATGGGGAAGGATGGGGAAAGGCATGGAAGTTAACTTTTTGTTTGTTGTTTTTTTGAGACAGGGTTTCTCTGTGTAACCCTGGCTGTCCTGGAACTCCTTCTGTAGACCAGGCTGGCCTCTTAACTCAGAGATCTGCCTGCCTCTGCCTCCCGAGTACTCGGATTAAAGGCATATGCCACCATGCCCAACTGGAAATCAGTGGGATTTTTCAGGAACTCTTCAGCACACTGAGGTCTGCAATCAACAGAAGGCAATCTTGGTGGTATCTGCCATGGTCCTGTCTTTCAGGACATCATTATGTCTGATTACATCTTTGACAAGCACACATGAAACCCTAGATCTGCTCTACTACTTTGGAATACAAAATAATTAGAAGAGTCCGGGTGGTAGCTCACATCTATGATCCCAGTGCTTGGGAGGCAGGGGCAGGTGGACTGTCATGAGTTCAAGACTAGCATGGGTCACTCAATGAGTTCCAGGACTTACAAAAAACAGAGAGAAGAAGAGGAACAACAACTAATAATAATAATAATAATAATAATAATAATAATAATATTTGAGGTTGGTCTTAAATGGTGTCCTCTCTCTATTTCAGCAATATCAAACATAATGCCAAAAAAGTGATAATAATATAAAGAAAACTCCAAGAAAAATTGCATAGATCCATGTGCATTACTTATTCACTTTGTTAGCAAACGCTTACTACTGTATGTCTCAGATGTTAAACATGTGTGTGCATATATGTATGTGTGTATATTTGGTCTCTCACTTTCAGAGATTCCTTCCTTATTTGCATTCATTTATAACATGTAAAATAAACAGGTAAAACTTGGGTTTTTTCTTCTCAACAAAATCTTGAGTGCAATTGTGTCATTGGTTAAGGTCAACTAGCTATCTATGTGTAACATTACCTCGAAGATTACACCATTCCCTCCCTCCTCCTTCCTTCCTCTCTCCCCTTCCCTCCCTCCCTCTCTGCCTGCCTCCCTCCCTTCATTCCAGTGCTTAGTAAGAATGTACTATACACCAGTCATTGAGGACATACAAGGGAACAAGGATATGGCCCTACCTTTGGGCAAGATCTCTCTGTCACATCACACAAATATAACCGAGTACAGAGTTGTGGCTTGGGAAAGCAGACTGCCTTCATGCAGGGCATATGGACTTGGGTTTAACCTCAGTACTTTAACACTCTCATGTTTGATTCTAGGTGGTCCGTTTAGTTTTGGGTCTTCTTATAGGAAAGTCAAATAAAGGGGCTGGTGAGCAGGAGTGGTGACCCACACCTTTCAGTCCCAGCATTTGGGAGGCCAGCCTGTTCTACATGGCGATCTCCAGGACAGCTAGGGCTTCATAGAGAGACCTTGTCTTTAAAATGAAAGGGGTTGGGGGTGAGACGGGTAATGGGTAAACACACTTGCTATAAAGCCTGATGACAGGAGTTGAATACCCTTGTCACACACGGTGGGAGTAGCCCTCTGACTGCCACACCAGTACTGTGACACCCCTACCCCAACACACATCAATTAAATTTTCAGAAAAAGAAAAGGCAAATTAAAATGTCTCCAATGGGCTAGGTGAGCAGTTTAGAAGTAATCCACATAAGACACCTGCTCAGAGGTAGAGCAGCCCTGAAATTAAAAATAAAATAAAATAAAAAACACACACAAAAAAATCACCTGCTCCAAAGCAAAGCTGAATAGATGCAGAGGTCTACCCTCGCCAAGAAAAACCAAAGCCATATGTATATACATGAAAAAACGCACATATAGTTCATCTACTTGCTCTGCCGTCACTCTTTATTTATTTATGTATTTATTTATTATAAGTTAGAGCTGTGGTGGTACACACCTTTAATCCCAGCACTCAGGAGGCAGAGGAAAGTTGATCTCTGAGCTCGAGGCCAGTCTTGTCTACAGAGAGAGTTCCGGGACAGCCAGGTTTACACAGAGAAAAACCCAGCTGAAAAAACAAAAAATTGTATTTCATATGTATAGATGCATATCTGTGTACCATGGGTGTGCCTGGTGTCTTTGGAAGCCATGAGAGGATGTAGGATCCTCTGAAACTGGGATTACAGATCATTGTGGTCCACCATGTGAGTGCTGGGAATTGAACCCAGGTCCTCTGAAGAGCAGCCAGTGCTCTTAACCACAGAGCCATCTCTCCAACCCCTGCTGTTGCTCTTGAAAATGTATCTGTCCTCTACTGCTTTCCTTTGAATACATTTTCTTGCTACATTTAGAGAAAACACACACACACACACACACACACACACACACACACAATCACGGCAGCCATCTTTAAACAATGTTTTAGATTTAGTTTCGTTTCAGGTGAGTGTTTTGCCTTGCCTATGTGTATGTCTGTATGCCATGTGCATTGCTGCAGAGGTCAGCAGAAGGTGTCAGACCTCCCAGAACTGGAGTTACAAATGGTTGTGAACCACCATGCAGCTGCCAAAATTTTCCGTGTACGTTGTCATCAGCATGGGAGAGTTAAGAACCACATGTGCCGTCAATACCTCATGCTGCCTCCAAGGGTGACACAGAGCGGATATATGCCTATCGATTTCACGAAAGGATACCCACTCACTTTCTTCTCACAGGACAGGGATGGCCTTAGCAAGGCTCAGAGCTGGCCTGGGCTCCCTTCTCTTCGTTTTGTTTTTGGTTTGTGTTTATATGTGTGTAGCTTTGTGTGTGAGTCTGTCTTGTGTGTGCCAGAAGAGGCCAGAAGAGGGCGCTAGATCCCTTGGACCTGGAGTTGTAGGCAGCTCTGAACTTGCACAACATGGAAGCTGGGAACTGGGAACGGAACTCCGGTCTTCTGGAAGAGCAGGAAACACTAAGAGCTCAACCACTGAGCCACCTCTCCAGCCTTTCTCTCTCCCTCTCCTTCTCTCCTTCTCTCCTTTTCTCCCTCTCCCCCTCTCCCCTCCCCTCTCTCTTCCCCTCCCTCCCACTCAAGACCAAGTCTCAATATGTACCTCCAACTCACTATGTAAAGGCTGCCTTTGAACTCACAGCGGTTACTTTTGCCTCTGCCTTTGTAGTGCTGATGTCACAGGCATGTGCCCCCACATCTGGCTGGATCTACTTCTTGCCTAGACCCTGTCCCACTTCTACTGTTCTAGGCTGCAATGAGCCCAGCTTGTTCCAAGCCCCCAGTACCACCCTCTTAGGCCACTTGCTCACAGATGCTGTAGATTTTCTTCTAGTTATAAAGAAGTTGTTCAGTTCATTCATCTGTTCATTAGTTTGAAGCAGGATTTCAACAACATGCAGCCCAGGCTGCTCTCCAGTGCATGGCTAGCCCGCTGCTTAGACTCCAGAAAGTCAGGAGGACAGGCGCAAGCCACCACACCTGGGTGGTAATGAATCTTGACCATCTGATCTTCTTCGAACATTTCGCTTTACAAAATGAGGCTGCATGCCTTAACTATTAAAGAGTGTGTGTGTGTGTGTGTGTGTGTGTGTGTGTGTGTGTGTGTGTGTGTATTTGTGTATATTCTCCACACTAGGGCCCTCAGCTATCCTGGATATTGAGTCTCAGAGGCACCAGATTAATTTTTCTTGCCCAAACCAGCTCCTGTGTATACTGCAATGGCTGGAACAGTAAGAGATCCTCGGGGCACACCTGTGATTCCCAAGGTGAGCGCTTGCAGAAGGTCAAGAATTCAG